TTAGTTAGTTTTTATTTATTTGTTTACGACTTTACGTGTTTAAATAATTTGTTTATTGGCTTCATTTTAGTATATAAATTGACTTTACTTAATTATTACAAGTATTAAAAATGGCTAATATATATATATATATATATATATATATATATATATATATATATATATATATATTGATGTTAGTACTTATCCGATGGTATATTTTATTGAGGCTTTGTATTATTATAATATGATTTTGTAATTATAGGTAACCTATGCGTATTTTAGTCCTATTACCCTAAATAGGACTAAAAAGGTTTGAAAATTCCAAAATAGGATTGCCATGTTTTTATTCCCAAAATAGGACTAATTACTGCCATGTTTTGGCAGTACCAGGCTTCAAACATGATAGTATTTTCTAAACTTGGCAGTAATTACTCTTATTTTGGGAATAAAAAACATGGCAGTCCTATTTTGGAATTTTCAAACTGTTTTAGTCCTATTTCGGGAACATTCCCTTAAAAATACACGTATTTTCTAAAATTGATATAAATTATCAAACAAAGTCAGCATATTCTAAAAACTTGCGAATTCCCAAAAATTTCTAAAATACGTAGAATGTATGATTTATATAAAATTAAATAAAATTAATTACTAATGTCCATATGTGTTTTTTTATACGGAAACAGCTATTCTTAACCAGCTAATTTACCAAACATTTGATGACAACCAGCTAACATAACCAGTCAATCAAAACAGCTGACACAACCAGCTATTTCCAATCAACTGTCATAACCAGCTAACAGCTAACATCTAACAGCTGTTGCAAGGCCATAATAAATAAAATCTTGGAAAAATAATGTCAAATTATGCTAGGAATGTGTACAAACGTGTTTCTTCCGCACATTAAAGTGTACTGTGTTGGAATACGGACTTACCAATGACATTAATGGACCAACCAACCTGATAAGAAATTAAATATTCTCGAACCAATTTTCGTTAACTGGACTATGATTTAGGCTTGGTCAGACCCATGCTGATTGCTGAAGTACAACGAGTCGATAGTATAGGACCCGACCCATTACCTCAACAACTTACGTTCTCCCTTATTCATGCCTACTCGTCCTAACACTAATAAAGCCTCCTAACACCTCATCCAAACTTTGTGTGATAAGAAGCTCTGTTAGTTTATTCGCGTATAATTCCCGTATAATACACTCGAACGTATAATTCACGTATAATACTCCCGTTTATGAATTTTTCAAATTTTTTTGAAAAATTCACGTGCTTTAAGGATAAAATGTGTAGTACACGTATCGTACGTATTGATACGTATTTTATTACGTATAATACTCCAGTTTATGAATTTTTCAGAAAATTCTGAAAAACTCACGTACTTTAAGGATAAAATGTAGGGAAAAGGTGCAAATAGGCCCATGTACTAACCAAAAAAGGTCAAATAAGCCCTTATTTAGGAGGCTCTATCCGGCCGTCGTCATTTGGGGTGGTTCCCGGTGGAATTTTTTGATGAATTTTTTTTAGCATCTTATTCATCAAGTCTAGTTTACTCATACCAAATTTCAGCTAAAACTTTAATCGGGAAGGCATTCAAATAAATTCTTGAAAATAACTGCACACTTAGAAGAGCATTTATCTTTAAGAATTCATTTGAATGCCTTCCCGATTGAAGTTTTAGCCGAAATTTGATATGAGTAAACTAGACTTGATGAATAAGATGCTCAAAAAATTTCATCAAAAAATTTCACCGGGAACCACCTCAAATGGAGACGGCCGGACAGAGCCTCCTAAATAAGGGCTTATTTGACCTTTTTTGGTTAGTACATGGGCTTATTTGCACCTTTTCCCTAAAATGTATAATACACGTACTGTACGTATTGATACGTATTTTATTAAAAAACACACCATGAAACGGAAGCCTAATGGAGTGATACAACTGAAACAAAATGCATGTCAAGCTACTCAATATTATTTATATTGCTTAAAAAAACGTTATGCCTTATATGTTCGCTAATTGTTTAACGGTCATTACAATTAATGAATTAACTTCTTAAATTCGTAATCTGTGTCGATATTTCTATTGTACTACTATACTACTGTATTACTTTAGTTCTCCACCCATACCAAGACTCCAAAGAGATCAAAAAATGTTGTGGCGGCTCACTAAACTCATGGTCAAAGTAATATCAACTATTTTCTAGTAATATCTCTCCAGTTCTACTTAAATGGGCAATGTCATTTTTATTACGTATTGTACCTATGCATTTAAATCCGTAAATCTAAGAAAAAAAAACTATTCCGTACATTTTAAATTGTTGAAGAGTGTGGTGCAAATGTTAAATAACTCTTTATTTCTATCATTAAATAAGTATGTAAGACACATATTATATGCCGTATTTTTAAATTGTGAAACGTTTAAAACGCGTCTGTATCTTTATATATTTCACGAACGTATGAAACATATATTAAACCGTATTTTATATAATTGTATCGTATTATACACGAACGTACGTATTATTGTATTATTCACGTACCGTATATTACTAACAAAGATGAGAAGATATAATTATTACTTCCCATGATACAATGTTTGTTTCATTCGTCGTATACTCGTATATACCAAATTTCGTAATATATTCGTGTTATTCAAATTCTATATATCAATAGTGATAATTAATGTAGGGGCCCTTTGCTAGTTGAACTGGCTGATTCCGCTGATTTATGAAAAATTACATTTAAAATATTTTTTATTAATAAAATAAAGAAAAATATATATGAAAAATTAGTTAAAATCACCATTTGATAGTAACTTCAGCCAATACAACCAGAAATATAACTTCAACCTTACTTTTTCTTATTGTTACACAATTCAGCGCGCGAAATCAGAAGTTACGTGTTTGGTGAAAAAGTTGGTTGATACACCGGATAAGCTGAAAATCAGGGTTACCAAACGGGTTCTAACTTCACTTTCTAACTTCACTTTTAATATTAAGCATGTCTTTCATTCTTCATGTCATACAGATTACAGATAGTGGGATAGACTGAAGTACTATACTATTATATAACTCGTTTTCCCAGAAAAACAATTTCTATATATAGGGTAGAGAAGATATGATAATACTAGGGGTCATGGTAGAAAGTCATGAGAGCAGATAGACAAATTACAGAAAAGAAAGAAAGAATAGATACAATTAATACTAAAAAGACAAAAAGAAATTAGGTTTAGGAAGACGAGTTATCGCACTGATTTGGGGAGGGTTATTGATTTAGTCATCATGATTTGGAAGGAATATGACGGTAACCCGAAGGTCAAGTGTTCTACAAAGTAAAGTAGTGTAATTGCACTTTTTTACCGAGTTAGATTTTTAAGTCTAGATCGATGAGTTACTCGTTTTCCTTTTATACACTAATAACTTTTCCATATGATGATCAATAGCTAGCAATTTTTCATTTATCAATATAATATTTTATATCAAAAATGTTTTTCAATAACATTAGGTTGATTGTACTATACTGACTTATCACCTCTAAACTATAAGTATATTTACTATCTTAATTTCATTTCAACTATTTTGTTTGCTTTCTCATACGTAGTACCTTTTTCTAAATACTTACCACCGTCACATTTCAAAAAATGACTACATTAATCTATAGACAAAATTGTAATCAAGAAGATAATAAAATCTTAAAACTGTGAATGTTTCTACTAGGAATTAATTAGGATATAGATTTTTCTTAATGAACACGTTTATTTTAATTTACTTATTTAGGATATTGAATTTTGTTATATTTTAATATAGGATTTAATGTAATATCTAAATATACAAAGTTTAATTGGTGAAGCTGATTTAATCATCCGTAAGGAAGAATAAATTTATCGCATGTAAATCTTGGAAATATGGATGGACCCGGGCCGGTTCGGGCCCGGTTCGGGCCTAGGCCCGGCCGGGCCTCGGGTCTGTTTTGTTGGGCCCGAGCCCGAACCGGTGGCCACCGGTTCCGGGTCCGGTTCCGGGCCGGGGCGGGCCGGGCCGGTCGGGCCACCCGGTTTAATTTTTTTTTTTTCCTTTCTTCCCCCACCCCCCCCCCACCCCCCACCCCCCCAAACCCCCCCAAACTGGCCTAAACAGATAGCCCAAGCCCAACAGCCCAAAACAAATGAAAAAAATTAAAAAAAAAATAGATTTGGCCCGGACCCGGGCCCGAACCGGCCGGGCCGGGCCGTCAAAACCTTGAACCGAGCCCGGAACCGCCCCACCCCCGGGCCTCCGGCCCGAACCGGACCCGGACCCGGATAACCGGGCCGGGCCGGGCCCGCACAGTAGCGGGTCGGGCCGGTCCCGGGCCGGGCGGCCCGAACCGAGGCCATGCCTACTTGGAAATCGCACAATTTGAATATGGAAAATATATATTGGGTTTTTTCAATGCTAAAATAAAATTTATTTATACAAATATGATTAATACTTATTACAATGTAGTGTTATGGTAACTTAATCAAGCATTCCAGCCCTGCTGGTTGTGAGGTTACCGTGCCTAGTGGGAGGTCTCGAGTTCGAAACTCAATAGAGTGCATTTCAGCCCTGATTACCCTAAGTCTCCCTCCCCCAGACCCCCCTCCCCCCCCCCACCCGGAGCAAAAAAAAACAAAATAATAATAATATTAATAATAAAGTGTTATGGTAACTTAAGTTTTAAAATTGAACATAAATTATTACGGAGTATGATTCTATTACTACACTAGTCAATAGTCACATTTTTATAAACAATGTTTATTTTAGTCTTAAATATGTAATTTTTGTTTTATTTTAAATAGTGATGTGTATCTCATTATTTGTAAAAAGTTTGTATGAACATGTAAAAGTGAATAATTTTTTCATTAGCCGGAGCATACAAATAGTTGAAACTGGATTAGACACGTTATACTATCGTACTAATTATTAATCTCCGGCAAACTCCAAGTCAATCTAATTATTTCTTTATGAGCTACCACTAATCATCATAAATTCATAATCATCATTTCATCTCATGTATGTTTATCCTTGATTACTATTTATAAATTATAATTGGTTCTTACCAAGTTTTATAACTAGAAAATAAAAAAGATGCCAATGGAGCGTTCAAACTCGTCGTCGGGCAGTTCATCAAACTCTTCACCGTCCGCCGCCGTGTCACGGCGGATGCGAGGCTCCTCCGCCTCCGTTGTATCCATACAGTGCTTGAAGGGCAGCTCGAAAGGCGACGAATGGACCGGCGGCATGTTGCAGACCGGAGATATCGTGGAGGAGCTCCAGCTAGGGACGACGATCCACAAGGCGCCGTTCAAGAACGGCGGCGCCGGCCTCCAGAAGCTCTTCCACCATGCCTACAAGATCAATAGCACCTCCGTGCACGTCAGAGTCCGGCGGGGCTCCGACAAGTTCGCCGAGCTGCAGGCCTGCCTCGTCCCGAACCAGGCGGCCGGCCGGAAACAGTACATGCTAAGGTCCATCGACGATCCCAACTACGCCGTCGGGTTCACTGACCGGTTCGAGGAGGAGTGCTTGGATTTGCAAGGTTGGTTTTCATTTTTCACTTCTAGCTTCTGCTGATTTGACTATTTCCATGGACGTTGACTATAATTTTTTATTTTCTAGTAAAAAATAGTTCATTTCATTACTCAATCCAAGGTCAGACTAATGCTGAGGACCTTCCCTTTGTTTGCATTTTGGGAGGCATTATGAAAATTAGCTGATGGTTTTGGTTCAAATAAGAACACGATCTTATGAGAGAAATGAGAACGAATCTGGACCGTTAGATTTGCTTCAAGTGAAATTCAGTGTGCATTAGATGAAACTGTAATGTGCATTAGGTGAAATTGAAATGTGCATCACAAAGGGTACGATAGTGGCATTATGTGCAGTTAAATTGTGCACTACGTGAGATTGAAATGTGCACTAGGTGAAGCTGAAATGTGCAGAATAAAAAGTACGATGTGATGTTATTTTTGTACTTTTTTCCCGCACATATCAGTTTCATCTATTGCACACTTGAGTTTAAATTTTTATGTTGCACATTTCAATATCATTTAATGCACATTTCAGTTTCACCAAATGCACAATTTGGTTCCACATAATACAATCCAACGGTCCAGATTCGTTCTCATTTTTCTCCTAAGATCTGTTCTTACCGGAACCGCTCCCATTAGCTGATAATAGCAATAACATTTTTTATTTGAAAGTAATTAACTTAAGTTCACATATAATATGGAAAATGACTAAATAATAACAACGTAACCATTTTACTCCTAAACCAATACTTTGTAAAAAAAATCAACTACTTCGTGTTTCAATATAATGACAATTATATGACTAAAATGAAGGTACTAATTAAAAATACTATGTATGACTTTAGATATTATAATTAATTTTAGTTGGGAGATCAATCCAGCAATTGATCTCCCATACTAACAATCTAACATTGAGCATTTCAGTGAAGTCTTCCAAATAAGATAAAGTAAACCCAAGTTTCACATACATAAGGGAATTATGATCATGAATAATAAATGCTTAGCAATAATAATATTAAGACTCAATGGTTTGATCCTAAAAATTAATACTAGTATAATAGAAGAAATATTCCAATATCTTTATATTGTACTACGTACTTAATTAGTTCATATTTTATTAATGAAAGAAATACATCAACAAATATATTATTCCCAATATGTTTAGTCCATAATGGTAAAAGACATGCATTACTTTGAGTTTGAGGCACAGTAAAAAAAACTGTATGTTAAGTAGTCTTTTTCTTTGTTGACATATTCTTTTTCTTTTTTCTTTTCTTTTTTTCTTTTGACTTTGCTTTTGTTTTTTGACATTTGGGGATTGCAAATTTAGGAAAACAATGAACGGAAAAAGATACCTGCATCGATTAATTCAATATGACCACCGGTTCATATCGATGATATATGGTCTGCTTGACTAGAAAATGGTCTACTTAACCAAATATCTTTCTTATTGTCTCTTGTAGAATGTTTATATTATTTCTTCTAAAACTCTAACGTATACGACTACGTCAAAACTATTCAAGTTATTTTACCATACGGGATATGAACCTTTATCCAACACCATCCTTTTTGCTCTCAGAGAAAAATATCATAAATAAAACAGTAAAACTACTTCGATCATCTTCTCAATATATGACCTTTTTAATATTTTCCATAACAATACTTATTAAAATATGTAAGTAGTACTTTTATGAAATATATCATTTATATAGACTAATATAACCTTGAATTATTATCATCAAACCCTAATTATCTTCCTAATTCATTCTCTTGATTATCTCATCATCTCTCTGAACTTGTACCATCAAAGGAGTTGTATAAGGGCTCGCTTTGCGATGATCGGAGGAGGAGGCAGATTCGTTCAGCACGAGGCAGGTTAATTAGTTGGTGGCAGCGGTGCGATATTGGTGGGCGGCCTCAATGGCACATACAATCCGTAGGGGTGGAGGCAGCGGCAGTTCTTCTCTTCTTCTTCTTCTTTATATTCTTCATGTTCTTGTTCTTCTTAAAATTAGGGTTGGTGGGTCAGGACAATGAAATTTTAGTTTCAATTCAGCATCATCGGAGAAGATGAAGAATTCAATTAGGGTGTTAGAGAGCTTTGCTCCATGTTCCTGCCAGTGCTGATTGTGGCAAACTAGTGTTCACCCTGAAAAGTTGGTACTGGAGTTGAGTTATCCACCCTCTTTGGAAATAATCTCCTCCAGATAATTAATGCATTAAGGAAGGGTGATGTGCATCGAATCGAAGGCAATATAGTGTCACAGTGAATAATAATGTCGGCATGAAAGACAATGATTCTGAAAAGAGGTGTTGATGCCGAGTAGTAACACCATTATGAAGTGTAGGTAATGCCATCGAGAAATCAAGTTTATATTTAATTGGACGAAATTAGTGCAAAATTCCCTTTTTCTTTATAAGGGAATTTTAAACTCATATGACGAATTTTTAAACTCTTTTACTTTTAAGTTACACGAATGACTAAAAGTAAATGTAGTCATATTTTGAAAATTTAAATACTCCGTATGTTTTAGTCATATTCTACAAATTTTCCCAATTCTCTGCCCATCATAAATCTCCCATGCTTTTTCATACAAAATTTTATACATGTTTCTAGCAAGTAAACTGTGGTTTATATTAAATTTGGTGTACGACACAGCTAGCGCTGCTAGCCCCTCTAAATATGTTCGCCAACACCATATACACTTCTACAGGTGATCTAGAAAGCCATTAAATCTCCGTATTATAAAAACTTTGCCTCGCAAAAAAAAAAAAAAAAAAAAAAAACTTTGTAACCTCACCAACATAAATATAAATATAAATATAAATACAAATACAAATACAAATACAAATACAAATACAAATACAAATACAAATACAAATACAAATACAAATACAAATACAAATACAAATACAAATACAAATACAAATACAAATACAAATACAAATACAAATACAAATACAAATACAAATACAAATACAAATACAAATACAAATACAAATACAAATACAAATACAAATACAAATACAAATACAAATACAAATACAAATACAAATACAAATACAAATACAAATACAAATACAAATACAAATACAAATACAAATACAAATACAAATACAAATACAAATACAAATACAAATACAAATACAAATACAAATACAAATACAAATACAAATACAAATACAAATACAAATACAAATACAAATACAAATACAAATACAAATACAAATACAAATACAAATACAAATACAAATACAAATACAAATACAAATACAAATACAAATACAAATACAAATACAAATACAAATACAAATACAAATACAAATACAAATACAAATACAAATACAAATACAAATACAAATACAAATACAAATACAAATACAAATACAAATACAAATACAAATACAAATACAAATACAAATACAAATACAAATACAAATACAAATACAAATACAAATACAAATACAAATACAAATACAAATACAAATACAAATACAAATACAAATACAAATACAAATACAAATACAAATACAAATACAAATACAAATACAAATACAAATACAAATACAAATACAAATACAAATACAAATACAAATACAAATACAAATACAAATACAAATACAAATACAAATACAAATACAAATACAAATACAAATACAAATACAAATACAAATACAAATACAAATACAAATACAAATACAAATACAAATACAAATACAAATACAAATACAAATACAAATACAAATACAAATACAAATACAAATACAAATACAAATACAAATACAAATACAAATACAAATACAAATACAAATACAAATACAAATACAAATACAAATACAAATACAAATACAAATACAAATACAAATACAAATACAAATACAAATACAAATACAAATACAAATACAAATACAAATACAAATACAAATACAAATACAAATACAAATACAAATACAAATACAAATACAAATACAAATACAAATACAAATACAAATACAAATACAAATACAAATACAAATACAAATACAAATACAAATACAAATACAAATACAAATACAAATACAAATACAAATATACAAATCAATAAATGAGATCTTAGATTTTTGGGTACATTTGAGTTTGATTTTTGTGACTCAATAATTTAGTTCTTAGGGTAGTTTCTATGTAATCTTCAATTATTAATAAAAAATCTTAACATAGCCAAGAAAGATTTAACTTGGCTTTATCAAATTATTAATATCAAATTTGGAAATTTGATACTTCAAAAATAATATACTGTGCAAATTAACTGCATCATCAATTCATCAATAAGAGAACTTAATTTGAAAAGATCTACGGAGTATTATATCTGTATGTGTCTGTGCACTTTAGTTTGATCAAACAAGTCATGACTACTAATTAATGCAGTTTCGAGAACGGCAAGAATGATGGATGCATTGCGAGCAACACCGATTCAGAATGGATTTGTATCATATCAATGGCCAAGGAGAGCGGCGGAGACGGCGGGAGTGCCCAACTCCCGCACCTCTTACTCCATGCTCTTCTTGCCCATAGCCACCCACAAATCCACTATCGGATACAGTGATATCGATGACACCATTGCCAGAGCCAATACCTGGCTCGGCGCTTCTCAAGCTTCCGGCGTCCCAATCGTCCTCATCAATATCCAGACTGAATCCCTCCTCACTAAGGTACCAATACATAAATTTAGTATTTCACGTGTTTCCTTCCACGGTTGTTGTATAATTTGTCATTCTAGTTCGTAAATACTCTTTCTATCTCATTGGATTTTGCCTTTAAAATTATGGTTCTCCTTATTTCTGTCTTCGATCCGCACAAATCTCAACTATACAGTTTTTTAGCTTTCTTATTTCACACACGAATCAAAGTAAGCATTGTCCAATGGGACAGGAGTACTATATAGAAAATAAACTCGGCACGCAACATATAAGCCAATAATCTGTGTTTAAATTAGTTAAGGATTTATAATATTATTGTGTGTAGATATCTGGAGAGATGGCTTCTTGTAGTGTACAAACTGGGTCGCTGGTTTCTGATTTGTCAAATATTGCAAATGCAAGCTTGTACGGGTTTGAAGATTACCATGGCGTAGATATCGGTGTTGTAAGAGCTGTTAGGCTATGGTTTTCCCCTCTTACAGCAGAATTTCCCATCGAAATCAAAATCAAAGATAATGACACCAAATTGGGATTTTCTATCAGTCGAACACATGAGGTTCGTCCATCATCACCATCTAAAAACATTATTAGTACATGCTACGAGTTTTGAATTAATTTCACTATTAGTCCTATGAGTTTTAAGTTATTTTCAGATTTAATTCACGTCTTTATATTTGTATACTTTTGGTACTTGATTATTGTTTATTGACCACTTGTGATCCTTCTCCGGCTTTTTAACCATCAAAAATATTTCCAAAATGACCATATATGGGCGAAAACACATTAGTCATGTATCAAAAGTGATCAAAATCAAAGAACGTGGACTAATTGTGGTATCGACCCAATACTCTGTAGGACTAAAAATAGAATTTATTCCACATATATATAGAATAACATTTGTTGTTACTATCACCCCTTAATTGAATTTGCACAACTAATTGAATGTAGGGATTCATATACATATCATCGGTTCTAGAAGGGGATGAATATGCATCATCCGCGCAATCTGGTCTGGGAGACCTGTTCATGGAAGCAAGTAGAAGGAAGAAGCTTCTAGTAGTTTCCAAAATCTCGCATCAGAAGGTTCTCCCCTGGATGGTTTCCCCGACCGGCGCCATCCGATGCTACGACACCGTGTCAGTTAGCCAAAAGCTGTCTTTGCATCGCCATGCAAAGATGCCTATCCTCATTCACGTTTTCCTGTGGGACCGCCTCGTCGGCGTTCCCAAATGTCGCAGCGTTACTTCGGGCACGTCTCTTGAGGAATTGATATGGTGCGTATGAATAGGCTGGCCTGCTACAGCCTCCAAAATCCAATCAGATAAGAGACCCGGCCCATTCTTCAAACAAATACACTTTGATTTCTTTGAGTGTATTTATTAAGTTAGTAGTGTGAGGCCTTGTTGGGCCTAAGGGTTGTATTCTTCTACAAGAATTTCCCAGTATATATAGTATACTATATTGATTACTTGTGAATGAGGTTGAACATTTGAACACCTAGTATAATTTAGGGCCCGTTTGGTAACTTTGAAGTCGGCTGAATCTGCTCAGATTTCAACCTTATTTACAGTGACTTCAGCCAAAAAAAGTAATTTCAACAATATTTATTTTGATTATTATATAATTCAACGTGCGAGAGCAAAAACTAACTGTTTAGTAAAACATGTTGAATGATGAAGCTGATAAATGAAAATAGAGATTACCAAATAGGCTCTTAGTCCTAACTAGATTTTCACTAGTAGTTACTTGATTTGGTCATATCTAATTATTGTATCTTATTCGTTTAAGCCTTTTTATCTCTTTAAAAAGATCATATACATTTTAAACTCATATTCAGACTTCATTTACCAAATATTAAAGGATAGTGTGTATTACAATGAAATTAAAAAACAGCCCCGAGTTGACTCCAAAGAGTTGCAGTCTTTGATTTTAATCATATACTGCTGGTTTTTTATCCGTTTAAGCTTTCTTCATCACATTGGAAATATTACGGGATGGATCATGGATACTTCTTGCACTGAGATTCAACAGCAAAAGCCTATTCATTCCAAATAATCTCTATTTACTCCAATCAGTTTAAATCATATTGGAAGGATTCATATCAAGTCAGGGAAAGAATTAATTAATCAAATTATCTTATCAATTTGATCTTTAACTAATCTTTGTAATATCTTTATCTTATCTTTTTTTATTTTATCTTATCATTCTTATTTTTTATTTCATGTGTCCATTCAGATTAATTGACCTAAAACTCTTTTGGGACCATTTTTGTTGTACCATTTTTGTTATTTGTTGTTGATTAAAAAAAATTATCACGATTCAATTACGATTCATATAGGCTACAATCAGGGGCTAATAATTGATGTTTTTTTATTTTGGAATGGCCTGGGGCCTTATGATGTTTTTACTTGGACTGTAATTTGCCCCAGACCAGTCCAGACCAGACTTGGATACTTATAAAAATACAAAGAAACCAGACCTTACCAGACCAGACCAGACCAGCAAATTACAGTCCAAGTAAAAACATCCTTAGTATGGCCCCCTATCTTCTCTTTAAAAGATGTATGATTGTTGTGGTAAAACTTAGCCTTGATAAAACTATGAACACAATAATTTATTGAACTGCAAAAGTATATTCGCACATACGAACAAAAGGAATGCTAACAAAGACAAAGTGCAAAAAGAGATTCAAATCTTCAACCCATATGTTGTCTGTAGATGAATATGAATGGAATGGGCAAGGTAGGATGGGTTCTTAAAAGCTAGGTTGGAAACTTTGGATACGGTTGAAATAAAGGTTAGAGGTAATGATAAAACAGGCGCAACTGGAACCGGCAGGTTCCTGAGACCGAACCGGTACCATTTGGGCAGTTCAGTTAGGAGACCTGCCCTGAGGGCGGTTCAGGGGTGCCGGTCCCAGAATGTGTATTTTAAGACCGCAACCGGCCAGTCCGGTACCGATTCAGTTTATTTTTGTATTATTTTTTAAAAGAGCTGTAAATCCATTTATGAGTTGATGAAAAAGGTGTAAATCCATTTATAAGCTACAAAAGAGTAGAGAGAGGGGTCCGGAGGGTTTTAAAATGTTTTAAAATTTTCATCTGGAGGGGACTGGAACCGCAATAACCAGTGGCGATCTAGGTTCAACATGCCCCACCCCCCAAGACCGGCCAAGACCGGCCAGTCCGGGACCGGTCCATGCCTAAGAGTAGTACAGTACCTAGGGAAGATAAGCAAATAAGCCCCCAACACTAAACCTTCTTTGTTGAAGGAAATTAATCCTCATCCTGACTAAACGAATTCTGGTTCTGATTCCGGGTTAACCCCTACTCCTAGCAAGTATGGGTGCATACAAATGGAGACTACATAAGTAAACAAACCTGAGATGATGACGAATTTAACACTGTACTGCGAAACTGATGTTGGGTTGGAGCTTTTTGGCCTTTATTATCATTGAACTGGAGATGTTCTAATTGAATTCAATACCTCATAATACAGCATCATAGACAAGAGCAAAGGTACAGAAACTTCCTGAGAGAAGAGGAAAACTACAATGGTTTACATTTCTTTATCAATGATATCTCTCATCATTTGTATTGGGATGAGCCCTTCAGTTCTGATTGCATCTTTCCTTGGATCTGGGCTGATGAAGTACATTGTGGGTAATCCTCGGACCTGTGAATAAATTTTTCAAGTCATTATTAATAAATTCCAACCCATTACAATGGAGTGTCTTTCATCCTTCTTAGGAGAAGAGAAACGGATTAGGCATTATGATTACCTGCATATCATTGGCAAATTCGTATTCCTCATCTGTGTCAACCTTCACAATGAGTGCTTTACTTTCGTACTCTACAGCAAGCTGTGGGTAAAATCAACATATGATGTCCAAAAAGAAGTACACGTATTTATCGAATATGACAGGATCATAGGATGCTCCAATGTGCCCCATTGTTGCATTAAACAATAAATAGAGGGAAAAGGTATATTTGGTATTGATCTTTTAGAGTTTAGGTAGCACAGAAATGTTTATGTAGCAACCATTCTAACATTCTGTCTCATAATTCATTTTTTGTCCAATATGAGAATATTCGGAGGAGAGCGTTGGTGCACTGGTTAAGGTGTTGCTGTGTGGCTGAGATGTCATGGGATTAAGGGCGTGTTTACTTCGCTGTTAAAGTTACAGTTAGGTTATTAAGATAGGTGAAGTAAACACACATGTCGTTTAAAAAGTTGCTTACTAACCCAATTAGGTGCTTTAAGTGTCGCTTACTAAGCATAACACCTCATTTATTGTATTAATTAAGCGGCACTCTAAATTTTTTCAAATCCGAATTTAAAATTACCCTTACCCCTTGCCCGTTACTGTTACGCATACCCCTACCCACCCCTACCCCCACCCTACCCTACATTACCCAGACCCCACCCCGACTCAACCCCCTACCCATCCCCGGTACCCCATATAACACCTACTCCTCCCCTACCTCGTATGTTCACCCTTACGACTAACCCCCACCCCGAGCCAGTGCATGTACCCTACCCTTTCCTCTACCCGTTTACCCCTACTCCTACCCCGCCCCTTACCCGTCCCCCGTACTCGTACCCCTTACCCATGCCCTCTACCCTGAGCCCCGAACCCCGTGCCCTTATCCCTACCCACCATACCCCTACCTCGTACTCATACCCCTACACCGACCTGCTAACCCCTACTGCCTACCTATACCCCACCCCCTATCAAGGGGTAAGGTAAGGGAACGGGTCAGGTAGGTGTAAGGGTAGGGGTAGGGTGAGGGTAGGCTGGGGTAGGAGGTATGCACGGGTTTTGGTAGGGTACGGTTGGGTCGTGATAGGGGTGGTAGGGGTAGTGTAGTCATAGTAGTCGATGGCGTAGTTGGCAAGCGCCATTTTTCGCTATTGGCGATTCAGGTGGTCTTCGCCAAGATTTATGGCTATTGCGCAGGGGATACACAGAGCGTTGCCAAAACAGCGCCATCGCCAAGCCATCGCTTTTTTCTCCCTTTTTTTGCCAAAAAATGGCGTAAATTAAAAAAATGGGCCCAGACTAATCGACTCCAGAAAAATAATGGCCCGTTGAGTACGTGGGATGACTTCCCAGCCCTACCTGAGTTTAGTCACATGTGACTGAACATAAAAACAAAAAAAAATGCTAATAATACCAATTTCGAGACTGTATCTGCGTGAGAGGGTTCTATTTGCGTTAGATTAGAAGTATGCGATGAGTGTTGAAGGAGCGACCAGATAGCATCGACCACCCAACGAGCATCCAACGAGCAGCCAGCTATCGACGGCGACCTCCTAGCAACCTGCGACCATCCCAGCGACCACCTAGCTGTGCTTCCTCAAACTTTAAATTCTGTTTTTTAGACATTAACTAGTTATGGATATTATTAAGTTGGTTTGATTTGGATTTTTTTGGGTACAACTTTGGTTATTTAACAATTTCACTCTTTAATTGGTGGTTTAAGTCATACACGTATATTGTCCATATGTTATGTTTAAAATTGTTTAATGTTATGTTTTACTGGAGCGCCATTTGAGCGCCATTTTGGCGCCATCGCCATCGCCGAGTGAAATTACCCCTGCGCCAAGTCCGTCGCCGTGCGCCGTGACTACTATGAGTGTAGTGTTGGAATAGGGGGTAGGGGTAGGGTTGGGTATGGGGTATGGGTGGTTGGAGAGTAGGGGTAGGGGGTAGGCCTCCACGTATTATATATGTACTTTTGTACATAAATGTTTGTATTCTATACATGTATAGGGTTATTTTGGACATTTTAATGTTAAACGGTGTTTTAAATCTTGTGAAGTAAATATGAGCTTATAGCATCGCTTATTTTATGTGACTCTTATTAACGCAAGTCTTAATAAGCATCGCTTAATAACCTGTGAAGTAAATGTGTCTCATGTCTTGGGAGCAGTCTTTTGTCAAAAATTTGACAATAGAAGGCTTGCTCCTTATACACCCTTGTGGTAGGACACTAGAACCCTTTCCCGGACCTTCCCCTTGTGAGGATGCCTTCGTGCACCAAGCTACCCTTTATGAGAATATGGGGTCGAAAAAATCAAAAAACGTGTGGTGGTGCGGATCAGGGATTCCCTAATTTATTTATTTAGGGTCAAATGGTGGTTAGATGTACATTCAAAATTTAAGCCTGCGGTACTTTCTTCAATAAAAAAAC